TTTTTTTTTTTTTTTTTTTTTTTTTTTTTAAAGGATATTATAGTAATCAGTAAATGTTTGCCGAGCTATCATATCTGTATTTTCCTGAGATGAAAAAATGTAAGCACATTTTCTATAATTTATTTTATTTGTAATGCAACTATTTTCTTTCTATTCATTACTTACTACTTTAAAAAATGTCTTCTTTGTTTCTGGCAAACCTTCAGCTGGCAGTGCCTAAAGAATCTACCTTGGTGAATTATGCCAACACCCAGCCGGCAGTGTGAAGGGAAATCACGTGAAACACTAGACGTACTTCATTTAGTGTAGTCTACAGTTGCACTTTGTTCATGTAGTCATCTGGATGGATGAACTGCATATTGCGGTTCTCATTATCATTCTCGTTATCATTGATTACAGTGACATCATTATGTTGATATTAAGGGAGTAGCTCCTCCATGGCAACCCCCAAACACAATCCTTGTCCCACCTTCATTGCGATGTTTATAACTTGGATCCTGATTCACACAGGAGGCGGCCATGATTCACTGCAGACACTGCATGCTTGCTGGAACAAGCCCAGTGATGTGTCTCAGTGATCAAACCGTGTTGCGAGACAATGGCCGATGACTGGGGACACTTCCTGAGCTAGTTGATTGCTGTGTACACTCGTTGAATGGGTGAAACATTAGTTTGATCAAACTTTCAAACAAAGAGTCTATGCTAGAAAAGTCAGTGCCGCTGTTTGCCATGCCAACATCACCTCATGTTCCTTATCTAACTCCACATAGGCGGGATTTATTTTATTTTTATTTTTTTTGCTTTTTTGTTGGCACAGGGCATATCCGTCTCATAAAAAGAGTCACATGTCGACAGTGTCTAAGGCCTTGTCTACTCTGCCATGTATCAGCAGTTATTCAATAGTGCCAGTTGTGGAGACATGGTGCTGTTTGAAGTTTAACATAATCTCAAAGAAATGTCTCTTTAGGGGTTCATTTCAGCCTTTGTTTTACAGCGCAGTTGGGTTATAAATTTTCTTGCTTTGTTTAAGCTTCACATCCTCCAAACAACATGTGTTTGATTAAAATCCAAAGGTCATTTAATGGTGTCGTAAGACACCTTATCTGTAATATACAGGCTAGAGTAAATTCTACATGGACTCAGCAGGTGTTGAATGAGGGGTTCGGCATTAATAATAGTGAATCACAGGTGTGAATCATGTGTGCTTTTTCCACAAGGATCTTTTCTCAAACTTGTATTAACCTGCAAAAAAAAAAAAAAAAAGTTAACATGGAGTTGTTCATTTGTAAAATTTGAGGGGAAGTTACACTGATATTCAGACACAGATATTCAGATGAACTGAAAAACCCCGTTTTCTGTTAAAATTATGTGGTCAGTTACAGCTTTTTCATAATTCCATTTTTGGCACTCTAGCTATAAAGACTTTTTTTTTTCTTTACCTGCACTTAAAAAAAATGAAAAAATTACAGACGTCATGCATTGTGCTGTTTTTCTTAACTCTGATTCAGCCGTCAGTTGTTCATGTGATAGGCTCATGCACCCTCTGATGACTTTCTGTAGCATTTATCCTCACTGAGGCAGGCTTTCACACCTTGTTCACCCCAAAGGTGAAGCTTGCAGGTGTACAATGGCCTCTTTGAACCCCGCTGCCTCCCCCTCCTAGCCTTTCTCAGCCTCCCCCTTCCACCCCATGTGGTCTGTTGTTGAGGCTGTGCAAACAGCTCAACATCCAGTGGCCATCCCCCACCAACCTCCGGGTCGAAACACAAAGGCAGCATTTACCAGTACGTTCTGGTGACCTTCAGAGGGCAATGTTGTTGTAGCTGGATGCTGCCTGCTGGACACAGACGTACAATTCTGTATCGTTACGTTTGTTTGCTCTGAGCTGGGGAGGGGGTGTCATATAAAGAGGAATGTCAGGTGTTGGATCGAATGTATATGAGTAGGTGTTCAAAGGTGGAGTGTGCTGACCAGGGTGACTTATAGAGATTTTTTTGTTTTCACCTAAAAATGACAAAGTGAAACTGATGCTTGTGCTTTGTACACTTTCTTCACAAGGTGTTGAAATCCATGTAGGTCATTCACTTTTGCTCTTTTCCCTCATTGACTATCACATGTTCAGAAATGAGGTAGAGGGTGGGGGGTGAGGTGTGCTGTGCATGTTTTGCTGGTTTCACCAGAGCATTTTGCCCTGTAATAAACCTCGACTCTAGATTTCACCCAATTGTGATAGAGGTAGCAGTATAAACTGCTTAGCTATGATTGTCCCCTTCTGTTTACAGTATTGAGTCACTCCCATTGTTTCATGTCATATGCTGCTCGGTCTGTGCTTTAGCCTGTCTGTGAATAGAGACTGTTCTGTAATCGACTGCACAATACCAGAATGTTTCATAGGAGATTACTTATTGACAGCTGTTCAAATATTGAAACACGAGAGGTCATCTGTAAAATATGGACTGTAACAAATGTATGACAGGCTCGATGGATTTATACACAAAGTTTCTGAAAAAGTAATAACTGTTGATATTATGTTTTCGGATCTGTGCCTGCTGGTATCCAATGCTGTCTCCTACCCCTCATAAAGAAACAGGTTAAGATTCATGGTATTTAATATTCGAGGATTTGCTGCGCAAATTTTGATTAAATGATCGGCTACCTTCTTGTGTCCCTATAGTAAATGAAGTTAGAACCAGCAATAAAAAATAAAAAACAAGGTACTTTTTTGTGGGTGTAGAGCAAAATAATTCTGTCAAAGAGTGTTCTAACAATAAATCTCTGCCAGCAACTTTAAAGCTCAGTAAACCTTTTGTCAGTAAATCATTTTTAGAAATATGTACAAACCTTGTTTGGGACCAAGGATTGCACCTTGTGGAATCCCACATGATACACAAATCAATGATTAGACGTAATTACTGAAATACTAAATCTTCTCCTGAATTTTTCCTCAGGTGTGGTTCTGATGGAGATTGCAGAAGCCCAGAAGAAGGTCCATAATGACCTGGACGATAACGTAAGTACCTTTTTAAAGAAGAAGTCACATTTTTATAATTACTGTCAAGTCTCACATAGCATTTTTAAAATATGAGTATCACAGACGGAGTCACAAAGTAAGGAAGTATTGCAGGGCAAAAACACAATATGTGCTGGCCTTATCCTGAGCAAGCTAGTAATTACATTAATTAGTAGCTAGAAGTATTTATGGCCACAAATGCTTATCTCTAAATGTTAGTGAACAATTGCAGAACTTTTTTTTCCCCTCTGTACTCTCGCTATCACAAGCCTCTACAAACTTTTGAGTTTAAAACCGTTGTAAGCAAAAGTGTCAGAACTGCCGACAAAGTAGAAAAGCCACATGATTATTTTCCGGACCTGACGCCTTAGGGCAGGGGTCTCGAGCTCCAGGCCTCGAGGGCCGGTGTCCTGCAGGTTTTTGATATCACCCTGGATCAACACACCTGAATCAAATGATTAGTTCATTACCAGGCCTCTGGAGAACTTAAAGACATGTTGAGGTGGTAATTTAGCCTTTTAAATCAGCTGTGTTGGATCAAGGACACATCTAAAACCTGCAGGACACCGACCCTCGAGGCCTGAGAAGATGCAGCAGCAGATCTCAGAGAATGACTCGGCCTCTGTGTGGAAAGGTTTTAGGAATATCACCAACTACAAGCCTAAAACCCCCCACTCCACTGATGACGTGCTCCTGGCCAACACCCTTAACGACTTTTACTGCCGTTTTGACGAGCCATCAGGCAGCCTTCACACCTTCAACGGCCCCAACAATAGAGACACTTTGGACACTCATTCCCCCACCTCTCCCCCCTCCATAGAGCCATCACCACCTTCAAACACTTCACCTACAACACCCCCCTCCTCACCCCACACAAAAGAGGATTTCACACCACCTCCTCCCACCACAACTCTTCATATTCATGAAGCAGGTGTGAGGAAGCAGTTTAAGAGTCTGAATGCTCGAAAAGCTCCCGGCCCAGACGGTGTGTCTCCTGCCACCCTCAGACACTGTGCAAACGAGCTGGCCCCAGTGTTTTCTGGCATTTTCAACTCCTCACTGCAGGCATGTCATGTGCCTGCCTGCTTCAAGTCCTCTACCATAATCCCTGTCCCCAAGAAACCTAGGATCACTGGACTAAATGACTACAGACCCGTGGCTCTGACATCTGTGGTCATGAAGTCATTTGAGCGCCTGGTTCTCTCCCATCTCAAGACCCTCACGGCCCCCCTCCTGGATCCCCTGCAGTTTGCATACAGAGCCAACAGGTCTGTAGACGACGCCATCAACATGGCCCTACACTTCATCCTGCAGCATCTGGACTCCCCAGGAACCTACGCCAGGATCCTGTTTGTGGACTTCAGCTCTGCCTTCAACACCATCCTTCCAGACCATCTCCGAGGCAAGCTTTCCCAGATGAATGTGCCTGATCCCATCTGCCGGTGGATCACTGACTTCCTGACGGACAGGAAGCAGCATGTGAGGCTGGGAAAGAATGTCTCGGACTCCCGGACCATCAGCACCGGCTCCCCTCAGGGCTGTGTTCTTTCTCCTCTGCTCTTCTCCCTGTACACCAACTGCTGCACCTCCACCCACCAGTCTGTCAAGCTAATCAAGTTTGCAGATGACACCACCGTTATTGGACTCATCTCGGACGGGGATGAGTCTGCCTACAGGAGGGAGGTTGAACGTCTGGTGTCCTGGTGCAGCCACAACAACCTGGTGCTGAATGCCCAGAAGACAGTGGAGATTATTGTGGACTTCAGGAAGCACACAGCCCCACTCCCCCCCATCATCCTGACTGACACCCCCATCACCTCTGTGGACTCATTCCGCTTCCTGGGTACCACCATCACCCAGGACCTGAAGTGGGAGCCCACCATCACCTCCGTCATTAAGAAAGCCCAGCAGAGGATGTACTTCCTGAGGCAGCTGAAGAAATTCAACCTGCCAACACGGACGATGATGCAATTCTACACTGCAATCATCGAGTCCATCCTCACCTCCTCCATCACCGTGTGGTACGCTGGAGCCACTATCAGGGACAAACAGAGACTGCAGCGTGTTGTGCGCTCTGCTGAGAAGGTGATTGGCTGCAGACTCCCATCTCTGCAGGACCTGTACACCTCCAGGACACTGCGGCGTGCAGCTCGGATCTCAGCTGACCCTTCTCACCCTGGACACAGTCTGTTTGACCTGCTCCCCTCAGGCAGGAGGCTCCGGTCCATTCGCACCAGAACCTCTCGCCATAAGAACAGTTTCTTCCCCTCTGCTGTTGGACACATGAACAATAACCGTATGACTGTTCCCACCACTAACACATGACCCTACGCTGTGTTCACTGCATCATTCCATGTTTGGCACTGATCACCACCTGCACTCATGTATATATCTATCTACTTAGCACTTTTAATTCTTATTCTTATTTTTATTTTCATGTCTATTTAAGCGTAATTTATGACAGTATGTTTGCACTGAAGCACCGCAGCAATTTCCTAATGTTGTAAACCTGCTCAACATTTGGCAATAAAACCCTTTCTGATTCTGATTCTGATTCTGGAGTTTGACACTTGTGCCTTAGGGTAAAATGCTTCAGATACCTTGTGACAACATATAAACGGAAGACAAGTATTCCCAAATGAAATATGTCAACAACTGAAGCCATTATCAAATATTCCAGAAGATCACTCCATGCTTACTGTACACAACGAGTGATGGGACTGAACTGAACTGTAACTGATGTATGTATCAACAAATTCGTGATGTTTCCTATCTGCAGTTCAAGAGATTCCACAGAGATGTTATTATCGAGCTGGAGAAGAAGACAGAAATGGATGTCAAATACATGAACGTAAGTGTCTCCATAGAGAAAACAGCGTTTTTCTGTCTCTAATCCAAACACAGTCACAGTATGAAAGATGGGCATGGCGACCCTGACATCAACAAGTATTTTTAGATATCACATTTTGAACCCTTAATTTTAGCATTTTGATCATAACCAGTAGTTTGGAACACAGGGTAGACTGCTATGTTATCAGAAATGTGTACCAGAGTTTAAGCTTGGATGGTCTAGTAGTACAAATAACCACAGTGCAAGGCATATTTGTATATAATAACTGCATTACAAATCTTCCAAAATCACCAACACAGGTCGAGAGTTCAGTGGTTCTAATGATCTGAGGAGAAGCCCAGCAGGAAGCTACTAGCGACAAGCACCTGTCAAGAGGTCTACATGTACTTAATGTGGCCACACTCTAATAGTACACAACATTAAGCTTTTATTACAATTAAAGCTTTAGTTGGAAGTTAAAAAGAACGGCTGGTATAAAAAGAATTTTATACCAGCCTTTTCATACCACATGTTGAGTTCTGTTGGAAAGATCACTTTTGGAGCCAACTAAATTGATTATTTCAGCAAATGCAGTTTTAGGCATTTCTACTTCTTCTTTTTTCCAGAAGTTTCCTCTTGCATACATCTTGTTTATGTAACTATATTTCATGGAAGCTAAGCGTCCCTAAGGGAAGCATTGATGATGGTTTAGTTCTTCTTGTTTGTGTAGTGAAATGCCTGTTTTCCTCTTGTTAAATGACTCCTGCAGGCCACCTTCAAGCGCTATCAGTCAGAGCACAAGGTGAAACAGGAATCCCTAGACCGTTCTCAGACAGACCTGAAGAAGCTCAGGAGGAAAAGCCAGGGAAAGCACTCATCCAAATATGACCTCAGAGAGAACGAGGTGAGCTTGAAACAAAACCAGCTCCAATCTTTCCTGAACATTAAAAGGCGACTGTGTGCTAATACTTTGGATGTTTTTTAAAGTATGTGGAGTTTGAATGCTGACACTAGGCTGGCTGTGAAGACTGGATGACTAGTATAACATTTATTTGACAGGGTAATGAATTGAGGCCAAGGCTTCTCGTGATAGGGATTAGTTTGCCTGTAATATTAGGGCAACTCATTGGAATGAAATTCCATGTTTGCTTTTCAGTTATTTTTTTTTTTCTTTTGTATTACATAATAGCGCCACTGATGACAGGCGTTTGAGAAAGGACACCCTTGGTGTCTTCAAATGTTTTGACTTATGTGGGATAAAAGGGCATTTTAAAAACCTTTCATGTAGTAATAAAACTATCAAAGAAGTCACCGTGGTCAAAGCTGCGTGCAGTTCACCTGTTTTTACATGGTGCACAATGGAACAATCATATGGCTTAAATGACTGTTTTCATAGAAGGTACACACACCCATTTTTTGTACAAAGGAAAGCATGCATGCAGGAACAGATTCAAACCCTGTTGAGATTCAGGTTGTATTGGATGCAGCACATCTGATTGGTCTACTAATAAGTTTCATTCATGTAAACCACAAATGTAAGCAGTGATTAAATAAATACAATTCTATTTAGAAAAACCTACAAAAACATTCAAAATACTGTTGTTTTAAATATCCAGTTATTACTGACTGATGGACTAGTTAATTTGATTAACTTTGAATGCACTCAGGTGTGTGTGGGTGTTGTGTTGGTATATAAATACTACCCCTCCATCATTCTTATCGTTGATTTGCATTCTGCTCAGAAAGTTTCCATCATGTAAATATGTTTTCTTATGACAACAACAATCATTTCTGTGGCTTTTTAACCTTCAGTCCACTCTGGAAAAAGTGGACTGATATGCTTATTGTGCGACGTAGTGTGATGCATTTATCTAAGTACGGAAACTTAAAGTGGAGTCCACAGTAGTGTCTACAGGTATAAGCTATTTACATTTAAGTATTTGAAGATCCTTTTTAATAAAATGTTCACAACCAACACCAAAAGTGAAAATTATTAAAATGAATGTCAGTTCAAAGTCCACAGTAATCGAAGGCAAAGTAAGGAAAGTGTGTAGCTGAATATTCAAATATGCTCACTAAGGCTTTTATTATTATTGCTAGCATAATGCTTCATAGTTGGTACTGTACAGTGCTGTTCATCTGCATTGTATAAAGACAATGCTAATGCTAAACTGGATCTACAATGACAGCATGGCTTCATAGTAAAAGTAGAAGAGTCTGGGAACTTGCATGCCTGCAGTCCAGACCTGTCACATGTTGAAAACCTTTCAATCATCATAAAATGAAAAACATGATAAAGCAGACCCAGGACTGTTGAGCAGCTACATCAGACAGCACAGAGCCTGATCAGTAACTCCTGTGTGTTTATTCTGACTTTACTGAGTTCCTGGCCTTGCTATGATGGATAGTGTCTAAAACTTGTGTATTATGAGATTCTTTAAGGAGTAAAAACAAAGAGCAAAAGAGATCTAAGTGTTCTAGGTTTGCTCTGTTGTGTTTTCTTGCTGCTAAACTCTGTATCAGTCCTCTGTTTATCTTTGAATTTGAATGGCACTGTTTAAAAGACACCCATACAATAAGCCGTGTTGTCTGGGTGGAGCTTGATAGCCTGATCCTGTTTCTCAAGCCAGGTTGAAACTGGGGCCTTTCTTTCCACAGAATGGACTTTTTCATTATCTGATAAAAATGACACCAGTGAGCTACATGCGAGACGAGTCTAACCGCCCAGCTTTCTAATAATGTGTAGGGCTTGAGTAAGGGGCCAGTAATGAGCTCAGCCCTGTCGGCCTGCTCTTCCACCTCACGTCTGGGCAATTTTAGTGGTGAAAATGGGAAATGAAGAGCTTTGATTCCGTGTCTGAGAGAGAGAGACACATAGAGGGAATGAGACCAGACAGTAGGGGAGGGTCTTTGACAGAGCCCTTAGAGATAGGCTGCTTTACTATCACCATGACAACCTGGGGGAAATGAAAAAGATTGGGGGAGTAGGCGTTGAATAAAAAAAGGGATGGAGTGAAGGTTGGGAAGTTTATTTTAAAGGGTTCAGTGTGCCTTGTGTCAGGGTCCAGCTGCCCGTGTGTGCGGCGTGACGCGTAGACTCAGTCTCAGGCTCTCTGTGGGGAAGGGGAAGACTGATTTGGTCTCCCACTGAGCTAAGATTGATCCAGGAGCAGCAGGAGACTCAAATAAACTTGTCCCTAAGTGCAGGGACTTTGACTACAAAGCTCATTAGGAGCGTGATTTGTGCATCTAACCTGAGCACCCAAACAGCTTTTGCTCACAGGGAGCCATCAAGAGTCAGTTTTCCCAGTCTTGGGTGTTAAAGCAACAAAAGTTCCCCGATCAGAGGCGTTGGCACCTGGTAGCAAAGAATAAAATAAAATAAAATAAACAGCAAGTATTTTCAATAGTCACCTTACTCATTTAAAAGAGGATTTTATTTATGTTGCAATTATGGCCTGATACAGATGTGACTGAATATATATGTGTATATATAAATGCAAAGTTTAAAAAACAAAAGGGATAATGCATGTTAAAAAATTGCAGAAATACTTAATTAAAAATACTTAATTAAATACTATATTAATACTGCAATAAATAAACTACAAAATAGAATAAATAAATGGACATCAATATTAATGATAGTAATTAAGTTAATAGCTCCACCCACATGTGGTTAAACCCTTTTGTTTGTCATAGTCTTTCTTCTGACATTTTTTTGAACTGAGATAAAGATCATTTTGAACTGTGACTCATGCAAAGCTACTCTAATACAGCCAAACAACAAAACTATGGAGCTGAAAATTGGCTAAATAGATCCTCTTAACTATAAGCTTATCAATGCATTTAATGAACCCGATGAAGCACAGATTAAATTGTTGTTATTCACCCTATTCTGTAACCTCTTGTTCTGTGACCACCTTCTGCAGTACTTGCAGACTATCTCATCACGCCAGATGGACATGCAGAAGTTCATTGCTGACGGCTGCAGAGAGGCTTTGCTGGAAGAAAAGCGACGCTTCTGTTTCCTGGCGGACAAACACTGCATGTTCTCCGGTCAAATTAGCAACTTCTATGAGAACGTAAGCAAGGACGGAGATGAACATCCAGCACAGCCGCATCACACCTTCTATAATGGATCATTTAACTTGCTCTCATTCTCTGGTGCTTCCAGGCCAAAGAAATACTGTCTGTGAAGATCCCCACCTGGCAGGAAAAGTGCAGCGACATCACCAAGGTGCCAGACTCTGTGGTGAGCATGATAGAAGGGCTGTCCGTCGTTCCACAACAATCACCGCTGGTTGATCACTGTAACAGGGTTAGTTTGATTTTATTATTTGATTTGTAAGTGTGAAATCTGTAGATGTTAAGCATTCTTCTGTCATGTATTACCTTGTTCTATCACATATTCTCATCGTACCATGGGGGTAGTTTAGATTAAAACTGAGGATAGAGCATGCTGTAGTGCATAAGGAGAACAAAGCATTTGTAAAAGACTGGCCCTGCGGGGTTTTTATCTTCTCAAGTTGTTGTGTTGTAGTTTATCTTGTTAAAGTAATGAAATCTGTTGTATCAGATGAAAGCTGTTGTGTAAAGTAGTAAGACATGGGTGATTGTTATCAGCAGGAATTCTCAGATGTGTTGTTGTTGTTGTGTGCTGTTAAGGTCCAGCTGTAACAGCTGTTTAGTGCTTCGCACGGAGGAAGAACATAAACTCCATTTACTGTGTGACTGTTTGATTATAGCACTAAGGACCTGTTGAGATCTGAATAATGCCAATTCACTTTGTCATATTGATGCATCTGCTAATCAGTCTTTGTGATCTCTTCAGGTCAAGGACTCTGGCCCTCCTCCAGCACCACCCCTCAAAGCTCAGTTCAGCCCACTTGCCAACATGTTTAATCAAGAGCCCACATTTCCATTTAACTCCTCTTCAGACCACAGCTCAGGTAAAGTTGGCTTATGTGAACTGCATAAATAAATATATAATCTTTATTGGTGAAGACTAAATCAACTTTGTTATCTACATGATGTGTGATTTTTATTTTTTTTCTGTCTAAAATAGGCCAGACTCGCTCATATTTCCTGTATATGTGTAAAGGAAACATTCTCATGCCAGAGCTGTCCATTAAATAGCTGCAGAAACAGCTAGCCATTCCCCCAAATTAAAAAAAAAACAAAACAAAACTTTGTTTACAACGGTTCAACAGAAATCTGGCAAAGTCTCATTTCTAGTCTCTTCTGCCTCCAGATCAGGGCAGTATTGGAGATGGCAGCCTGTCGAGATCTACATCCCAGTCATCTGGTCTGAACGTGAGCAAGAAGTTCCGGGTGAGAACCATTTTCCCTCACACAGCAGGCAACAACGACACACTCCTGAGCTTCGATGAAGGCGACATTATCACTCTGCTCATCCAGGACGAGAAGGACGGCTGGTTGTACGGAGAGCTGGAGAAGACGCAGCAGTGAGTCTTCATCTGCTTTTGTATTCAGGGCTGTGTTGACGCCTAAGAAAACCTGAGCTTAGTCTCCACAATCTCATTTAAAGTTACATTTTGTAATCTGGGTATCGTTCATTTTATTCACTAAATAGATTTGTTGTCTACAAATCCCAAATACCTCTAGTTGAATATTATTTTTATTTATTCCTTTATTTATTAATTTTTAGGCAATATCAAAACATTAAAGGTACAGTTTGTAAAATCTCACCATTAGATGTCAGTGAATTGCAGATTGCAGTCAACTGAATTCTGTTATCTTGTCCCTACCAGTCCCTTTCAAGTGCATAACCTTAGCTACAGTGGGTGCTTTAGCGTTTTAAAAAAATGTTAACTTGTTGGTACACCTAAGACAGGAATGATACTTCCATTACAAGAAAGACGTAGCAGTCGTGGCACACGGGTGGTTTTTTTTCCCCACATAACTCAGCTGACAGTATAAGTTTCTCTTTTGTGCTTTTGCTGCTTTGTCGTGCTATTACCACATGCCTCAAAATACAGAGTATGTCTGGTATGTTCAACACGACAGTCGTAAAGCCTGATCTTAGCTCACTCACGTACACATGCAGAAAAATGGGTGCAAACACGCAAAAAACCCCAAAACAAACCGGGAGGCATCTTCTCATGTAGATTATACAACAACAACATTTTCCTTCCCCAAACAAGAGGAAGGAAAATATTTTAGCTGGAACTTTTATAAATTCCAATGAAGTCAGACCTTTTTAGCAGCTGTGATTACATGTCACCTCCAGAGAAGGTGGAAAAATGTTCACAGGTGCTAAATGAAAGATCTCCCTGCTTTTTATTCCCTTAGACAAACATAGCACCTGTTAGCTTTGCATCCACTTGTACAAAGGATCAGGCTTGTTTATGTACAGCAGGCTGTGTTTGCATATGTGGCTGCAGCAGCATTACCCTCCTTCTGTGTATAATTACGTTCATATTCATCCTTGCCAGATCACTTAGGGCTCATCATGCAGAATTATGGAGTGCTTTCAGTTTGCGTTTGTCCCTCTTTGAAAGAATTTACACGAGCCTTATCTGCTTGTTGTGCGTGGCATTAAGCGGCCTTTTTAATTTCAAGTGATTTTAATGCAGTCAATGGCTTTTTTTTTCCTTTTCTTTTTTTCCCCCAAGAAGAGGCCGTGTTGGGAGAAATCAGTGCTTTCTGTTTCTTAGCAACAAATCCACTGCATTGGTCTGATAAGCCATCGTTTTCTCCAGACGTGACTTGGAGACAACTTTGGAGTCTTAGTGAACAAAATCTTCTATTCTGTGTCTGATGTTAGAATTTCATTCAAGTGTTTTGTCTGCTGCGGTGATTCTCTATCGTGATGGATTCCAGATGACTGCTAAGAAATTGCATGGCTCGTTATGTAATTTTATTTTGACGTTTTTTAAAGATGAAACGATGTGCTTCTGTTCCCAGGCGGGGCTGGTTTCCCTCATCTTATTGTCGAACTTACACTGAGTCGGTGGTATCAAATAGGTAAGAGGTGTCAGAGCCAAGCATTGAATCAATAACTTTTTTTTTTTTTTTTTTAATTTCACAGCTGCTGTTGGATAACTGAAGCTTTATGTAATGTGTCTCAGTAGTAATCTAGGCACGCCGGTGCATCGTCTTAGTACGATTAGCCTGCCAGAGACTGAGGAGGAGGACGACGAAACAGTGTTGCTGCCACCACCAGACTACAGCGACGACGCCCCCTCCCGCCCAGTCATCCTCTCAATGCCTTCGCCAGTAAACACGGTCAGTATCAGCACTCGATTAAGTAAACCACCTGTCATCAGCTGTATCAGGAGCATTTCCAGAGCGTGACCTGATATCTTTTTTTCCTCATGTTTTGATAATTCGGGTTGATATGACGTATCTTTAGGTGGCAATGCTTTGAAATAGTGCTGCAGTTAAGCAATATGAGTTTTGTAGGTATTACCAAGAACACGTGCTCTAGAAGAAAACGGAAAAACAACATGCCTTTACACTGGATGTTTTGCTGTAACACAACAAGCATGTATGGAATTTGTGCAATTTCACAAATGATTGATTTATTATGATGATCAGGGTTGTCATTTAGGGAAGCTGTTCAGTGAGTGTGCTACTCAGCATTTTTCTGAATCTGCTCTGTAGTTTTCCATTACATTGTAAAACAATAAGTATACTTTTTTTTCTGTGTATTTCACACTGCTTATAACAATCTTTCACATTATCATTTCTGCTCTTGGCTTTGTATGGCTGCAGCTATCCTTGATACGGTCTAATTCACACATCTCTTGGTGTGAGCACAGAAGCTGCTGTTGAAACCTTTTGCTTGTGAGAGGTAGCCAATTGCAGGAAAGCTAGCCAAGGGAAGCTAAAACAGCTTTATTGAAAAATGAGCATAATGTGTCTCCTTTAAGCGCTAATATTGTTATGCTGACATGCTGGGCATTTAAAATATTTCATTTAAATTTTATTTTGAAAAAAGACCTATGCAAATGATCAAAGACCCCGCAGTGGCAAAAAACAGCCCCTTGAGATCATGATCTATCCAGCAAATTCAGTAATCATTTCCAGGTGGCTTGAAAGCTAGTGCAAGACCTGCCTTTGCCACTCAAGCAGCGTCTCACTGAGCCACCTTTTAAAAACAGGGAGGTGATGTCGATTTCCAGTCCAATAAAAGTAGTCTGTTTGCACCAATCACGCCTTCCCTCAGGGCTTTTCTTTGATGGGCCTTGTTCCATCAGATACTAACATGCTGTTAAGTTTAATATTAGGCACCAACACAAAGAACAGCTAAGAGTGACGGTTGAAAGCTTGGAGCGAAAAGAGTAGCTGCTCGTCATCTTCAGCCCTCTTTGCTATTAGAAATAGGTCTGAGCTAACTGCAACCCCATATCTCACACATGCCCTCCCCTCTCTCTGTTGAGTTTTGACACCCAGTCTGTGAACAGAAAGGAGTTAGTCTGTTGAAAAATCCAGAACGCAGTACTTGTCAAAGGATTGTCAAATACGACATGGTATGCTGTTCAGAAGAGCTGTGCCTCAAGCACAAGCAAGTTTTTAGTTACTGATTTCAGTCAGATTTAAAGAAAGGGGTTTTTTTGGGGGGTGGTTTTTGGTCAGCTGTGGTTCTCTCTTCCACTTTGGACCACTCTGAACCACATGTCAAACTCTAGGCTACTTGGAGATAAAGAAAAAGAACCACCAGAGTCATTGTGATTCACAAAAATGCATTTCTGCAAAGTTTGCGTGGGAGTCTTGATATATTTAAGTCCTCAGCAAACATTGCACTTTGTAGAGACATTATAAAAGCTAATATCCTGCAGCTGCTCTGTAATGTGACATGCATTTCTCCCCGGCTGCTGCTCATTGGCGAAGTTTAATGGCTGAAGTTTGTGAAGTTAGTCATCATTTTAACACAAGGTTATTTCTTCCTGATGGGACACGTGCCCTTGCTGGGTCGTCACTCCACACATGCACCATAAATGCCATCATGCAGGCAGAACTTTTAAGTCGAACTGATCGCGTCTTATCAACATCTCCTTAGTGCGCAGTCACCGGCTCCACGCCCTTGAAATGGCACAGCTAGAAGCACACCTGTGTTCTGTAAACAAGGTTCAAGGAAATGCGCTATATTTATTAAGACTATAGTTTCCACGAAGTATGTTTAATCTTCAGAGAGAAGTCACATTCAGTAGGGGCCTGTTTGTAATTTTGACAGATACAGGCATGACCACGGTACCTAGAAGAAAAGTGTAAAACAAATCAGAGAGGAGAAAAAGGTGGTGAAATACTCCCAGACAGGTTTTGACTAGAGAAGAGTTACAGAGGGAAGCATAAAAGATGAGAGAGTACAGTCTCAATTTAATTTTGTGACTGTGCTGTGCTGCCTGACTGGAAATGAACTATCTGTTGAGCCAGCAGGCAAGCCCAGGCACACTTCTTTCTCATCACCTTCCTTTCTGTTCTGGACTGTCTGTACTGTCCTCTGAGTTTGCTGCGTCAGGGTTTCACTATGAAATATACGACAGTGGGGGAAATACCAGCTCGGCGTACCCCAAAATTTTACATCCTGTTTGAGAAAGTAGGAGCTACAAATTTACCACCAAAAAAGTGTTTATGTTCAGATCAGCCCTATACGCTAGCTATCAGTTACAATAATAGAACCCCCTGGGTGTCCTGTGAATTGTGGGAGGTGGGACTTCTTCCAGCACATCCCAAAAACGATCAGTTCATTTGGGATCTGGGGCTTTTTGAGGTGGGGTTAGTTTGTGTTCCACTACAAAAGCAATTCAGGAGTGTCTCAAGGAACACATTGCCCTTCCTTCTTACCATATCCACTGCTAGGAAGTGCTGTTGCCATGGGGGTGTGTACATTGCCTGGTATGTGACAAAGGAAAAGCTGTGCATTATTCTAACAGTGCACAGTCACAATGGTCAGGGGTCACTTTACATCATAGTTGATCAGTGTGTGTTGGACACAATTATATTCTGTGCTGTTTGAGGGGGGGAATTGCAGGACACCTTTAAGCAAGGTTAGGGTGGGTTTTTTTTGTGACATAATCAGTTGAACTGGAGAAGAAATTCTGTTTTTTTTAACACAAATTTGATTGAGGTTTTCTCTTTGTGAAGCAAATCTGTGCTCATTTATTTGTGATTCATCTAATCAGAAGTAAAAGTTTGCTGAGAACTACAAAAAAGCCAGGATGTTTCAAACAATGAATGATGAATGTAATGCCTTCAAAGCCCGTCTGTGGCTTTAAGAACTGTCACATTTTTTTTGTTGACACCTGGTGTTTCCTGCTCTCTAGGGGAAAAGATGGGTAATGTCTGTTTCCTACAAAAAACGACAACAAAAAAGGCCTTCTCATACACATAATAAAATTATCTGCATGAGCTGATGTGATCTACCATGAAAAACAGAAACCACTGATGGTTCATTTTAAAACGTTTTGTCACGGGACATATTGTGAGACTACGGCAGCCCTCGGGGCATGCAGCTCAGAGATTTCTGATCCTGAACCTCGTTGTTTTCTATGCTCACCTTTCACTCTGCTGGCAGTAAGATTATCACCAACCTAAGGTGAGAAAGGGTAAAAAAAAAAAGTGTTTCAATTGCCAGCCTTTCTAGATTGTCTAGATTACAGGTTCAGTGAGTTCTGAGTTTTGTGGTGTAATTATATGTCAAAGGAAGGGGGGGGGGGGGGGACAACTGTTGATGGGAAGTCTGATCAAACTAGTCCGACAACTAGTGCTTTCTTAATAGCTGGAGGCAGTTTTTGGAGATTGCAATGATGCCTGTTGAACTTTGTGTTGTTTCCATTTTGGTGACTTGAAGTTAAAGAGTCATTTCTTCTGCTTTTTCTTTAATAACAGGTTTCTTTAGTCAACGGGACTCCAAAGGCTCCTTTTCTTGCGTGAGTGACACAGCTGGCAGATTTTCACATATCCATATGACTAATTAAAAATCTATTTGACAATAACCTCATACATCTTTGTTCATTTTCTTTCCGCAGTGGAGGGAACCCCTTTGCCATGGTCAAGCTGAAGCCGACTGTCACAAATGACCGATCTGCACCACTCATCTAACTCTAAGCTTATTAGGGTGGTGGGGGGGTTCTTCACCGCTGTTATGCCTTCAGGGGACTCTTGTACTGGAATCATACAACCCCCTCTGCGACACACTGACTATCTCCCCAACTCAACATCTCACTAGCCTGCATGCTAGTTTTTTTTCCTCAGTACCAGCGCGTGTTTTATCATCAGCCACCACACGATAACCCACATTTGGAGACGCGGGAATTGTGAAAAACTGTGGACAAAGAAAGTGTTTGGTGTGCTCTTCTGGTTTGAGTTTGTGTAACAAGTAAACATTCACAACGAAATGAACATTTAGACTTCCCTCTGATCCATATCGTTTTAGTAAAAGTAGCATTTAAATTGGTGAACGTGTTGCATTTCCTGTGGCTGCTTTGCAGTGAAAGCCGCCATGTGATCTGCAGTGCCATTAGAAAGTATTTGCTTTACGTTGTTTACCAGGAACTTAATATGACTGCTGATACTGAGCGGAGACAGAAAACTGTAAACGGTGAGGCTGTTATCAAAGTAATCAAATTGTACTGAATTGCAGTCATGCGTCTTTAAAGCAGTCCAGAGAAATCCACTAGAAGATTTTCCTCTGTCACTACCAGGAAAAAGTGCACATACACAGCTACTCCAAGTAAACAGGTTGAACGACCATTGCTTTTTACTCCTCAGTCGTAAAAGGCTGATGGGGTATTGTTGTCTACAAAATTGTTGTTACTGATATGCTATTTGGTAGATGAAGTCTTTGTTTTCATTTTGGAATGAACCGGTCTCTTTATTGCTTTGTAAGACACTCGGTCAGGCTTGTTTCAATGAAAAATGATGAGATCCAGATGTAAACCTTTGCTACCTGATACTGATGAAACAGACAAGCATACAGGTTGTCTTCCTGACTTGCCAAAATATCTGTATCTTTAGTTCTTTCTTTTTTTTACTAGTTATTTTACTAGTGTTTTTTTTTTTTTTTAAATTTGTCGAGGTATTTAGTTGTGAGAATGAAGGGAGAGTGATATTGGGAAAGAAGGGGTTTGTCATTGGATTAAAGGCAAAAACACTAAGTCACAGTTTTGAATGACAAAGGTATTTATATATAAAATAAGTTTGTATGAAATATTTAATAAATCTGTAAACAAAAGTCAGACACAGCAGTCACCACGCTCAGTCCGAGCCATGGATGCCACTTTCTTTTGTTGTTGTTTTTTTGTTTTTTTGTTTTTTTTTTTGTTAGGCCTGACTGCTGCTTTTGCATATTAAATGGATAAGATGACCTTTTGATGAAGGGAATTATTTCACTCCTCATTGTTTGTTTCGTAGTTGTTATATGTAGCTTCTGTGCACAACACAGTTTATGCAAAATGAGAATGTACTTTAACGGCAATCATTTGAAATGTGCATAAGTAAAATAACTCATTGTTTGAAATATTCAAAGTGTTATTTTGTGAGGAAAATGACTTTTTCCCCCATGAATTTGCTTTTCTGAGTTCAGCTGTATGATGAGCAAGTGATTCATAAGACAGTTGATTGAATCGTATTAACTCACTGATGTAAGTGAACCCATCACACTGCCATAATGAAACATGCTTTTCTTCCGAGTACCTTGCCACTGTGTTGACCGATAGTCTTTTTTTTTTTCAATAAAACATAAAGCCTGAATGTTCATTTTCTGTTGTCTTCTCGCTAATTTAACTGTCTGTTAAGCTGAAATGAAAGAAAGTGATTATAATCATAACCTAAGGACTGGAGTGAAAACAAGTGAAAAAGCAGCCAATGCCCAAAGGAAGACTGGAGAACTATTGCTCAATGAAGTCTTGCTCCTTAGAAGCAAAATATAAATACAAGAGAGCTCGGGATATTTGCACAGTACTACTCCTGAACAGCCTGAACATGAATTATAGCTTTATAGCGCCCTCTGCTGCTTGTCTGCTAAACAGCACCTCTACAAGCGCCTGCTGCCACGGAAACTGCCAGTGGGAACAGAAGTAACAGCACTTCCTGTTTCAAACTGAATCATTTCTGCCGTGAGTGAGCAGCTACGGCACACCGAATGACTCGGACAGCTTACGATCCTTCTCCACTGGATGAATGAACAGCTGTGACTTCTCACCACCGCCGACAGCCGCTTTATGAGAGGAGGCTCAAGGTTTGCTGCTTGAACTCTTTCAGTTTGCTATTTCTATCCGGCTAAGCCCGTAAGCCTGTACCAAAACAAACTGAGCATCGTTAAATCATAGAGCTGGCTTTACTGCACACCTTCGTTTGGGGGCATTTCATTTCACATGTCCCTCTCCTGTCAGTCGCCTCTACAGAAAATAGTCCAATATTTCAAGCTAATCTTACACCGTTGCTAATAGGCAGCTACGTACTTTATTTACTTGGTAGTAAGCCCCACGGGTGAACAAGCGCAGTCGCTTCAAACGTGTGTGTGTGTGTGTGATATCTTTAAGTATTTTATTGTTACCATCAACCTGGTGTGTGCTGCATGCACAGCTGTGAGTGACAGGATACGCCTTGTAGCAGCAGCAGCGTCCCTACTTGTTACGAGATGCTGTGAAACAGTTGACTGCCGCTTAGCTAGCCCAGAGCCCACTCTGTGATCTGTGTACATTTCACATACAAGCTTGGTTATTACAAATGCCACACGTATAGTGTGTTAAATGTGGGTCAGCAAATTGCGCTGAGAAGACATCGAGCAACGCAGTGCAAAGGTCATCGCCACTACAGCGCATGATCCAAACAACTAGTTTACAGATGGGTAAACAACTGTTCTCTAAGGAGGCCATTTGGCCCTTATCTCCCTATTTTCCACACACACTTTGTTCATATTTGCGTATAATTGTGGCCTGCTTTTTCCTTCTGTACTGTTGGTGGGTTATGTCTTCAGGCTCCTGCTCATTTTAAATTGTGTTGTATGCTTTGCTTGATATGCAGTGGTCATGAAAAATATATTTATACTAATCAAGCATGACATTCTGACCACTGACAGGTGAAGTGAATAACTCTGATTATCTCTTCATTATGGCACCTGTTAGTGGGTGGGTATGCTAGGGAGCAAGTGAACATTTTGTCCTAATAGTTGACATGTTAAAAGCAATAAAAATGGGGAAGCAAACAAACAAAATCGAGTCCATCACAGTTTGTTGCATATGGGGCTCCATAGCTGCAGACCAGTCAGGGTGCCCATGCTGACCCCTGTCTACGCCTGAAAGCACCACCAGTGAGCATGTGAGCCACAAAAGATGTGCCTAATCTGATGAATCATGTTTATTTGATATCATGTGGACGGCCAGGTGCATGTGGGTGTTTTGCTGGGGAACACCTGATACGACGATGGACTATGGGAAGAAGGCAAGCCGGCTAAGGCAGTGTGATGCTTTGAGAAATGTTCTGCTGGGCAACATTGGGTCCATGTGGATGTTACTTTGACACAACACATATCTAAGCATTGTTATAGACCACGTACATGGTTTCATGGAAACAGCAGGATAATGTGAGAGGCCTGAGTACAGAAAACATTCAAAAATTGAGACAGATAAATAATAAACGACATGATCACATATTAAGAAAAAGATATGCAAATGTAGTTGCAGATAGACAGATGCAACCATTTAAAATATTCCACTGAAATCGGAGAGTACAGCTGCATTTTTAAATTTCTTTGTAGCTCTTTCCATTATTTATCAGCAGTGAAGTATTTCAATCCAGGTTTTCTAAGTTCAGACTGATCAGGAGGTACAGCTAATGTTAAAATGTCCCATGAACTGACATTGTAAGTACTGGTTTAAATTCAATCAAGGAGCAATGGTAAGCTAAGGGAATCTTGGGAGCAGAGCCTTGTAAACAAACATCATACATTGCTGCTCTCCGCGATTTGCTAGGGAACACCATCCCACTTTTTCATATAAGATATAGTGTTGAGTAAGAAAAGAATCACTTGTGATAAAATCATAATGCACTGCGATACAGTGAGGGGAGATTGGTGGGGGAGACAGATGGACCGGTATAGTGTCTGCAGTATTGTAGAATCACTGTATCCATCTGTTGTGATAAAGAGACAGTTTACTGTGAAAGCAAAACTGTCAGTTTTACTGGCTGATCGATGTTCCTGCTTTTATTTATAGCCATGTATGGTTTGGAGTGACTGAAAAAATGAGATTGCAGATAGAAGCAGCTGAAACGTGTTTCCTCCAAAGTGTTTCTGGGCTCAGCTTTAGAGAAAGTGTCAGGAACTCACTCATTTACAAGGGGATTTAAGGTGTTTTAACCATCTGACTAGGATGGTGTTTCACACATGTCTAAAAGGGAGGGACGAATCCCATGCTGGCATCGGAACACCATGGTGTCTCCCAAGAGAACTAGAGGAGACGGCCAGGAAGTGGGAGTTCTAGACAGCCGGCTCCACGTACAAATCCACGCATGGACCAACTGTGAAGGATTCAAATTGAGTTTTTACTGATCTGCTTAAAGTGTCCAACCCTATCTCTGAGCCAATTTTGCTTATTTTTGCCATGTCCAAAACATTTTTATGAGGCCCAGTGTTTTTAAACACATACTTCAGCATATTTACACAGCAGCTGATGCCAAATGTTGTGGTACACGTCTCAGTGTTATCGCCATTCATTCTGGGAAATTGTACAACGTAATTTCAAAGCCACATTATCAGCATTAACCCATTTTCTTCGTCAGGTTCCAGGTGCAGCCATGCCCGTCTCACTGCTGTGGGCTGTGGACGTCTACGGGCGGGTCTACGGCCTGTCCACGGCGGGGCAGCAGTGGGATCAGTGCCACGATGCCCAGATGGAGTTCAAGCGGGTCACGGCGGCACAGCAGTGCTGCTGGGGCATCGCCTGCGACAACAACATCTACCTGAACGTTCACGCTTCCGACCTGTCCATCCGCTACCAAGAGGAGACCTATGAAAATCAAGTGGGTCTCTGTGACTAGTCGGGGGCTGTCATTCTTTAATGACTGTAATTACATTAAAATAAGTTCTTGTAAAAGCCAAGAAATATGTAATAAGGAACCCACATTATTTGTCTGTCTTTAAGCAAGTTTGTAATACATTTTCTTTTTATTATTATTGCACAAGTAAAATTGAAAGTTAAAGTTCCCCATTATATGTTCAGCATCCTCATATGGCAGAGTCCCACTTCTCTGTTGCTAAATCCACAAGCCATTAGGCTACGTGCTTTAACAAGTGAACCTTAGAAGCATCCTAAACCAGTTTTTAATGGGAAAAAATTCTCACAGTGCAAGATCACGAAACCTTTTTTTAACACTGCTCTTTCAGATTATCCCCATTAGGTCGACACTCAGTCATTTTCATTCTTGTGGCTACATCTTCATGGGATATCTCACTAAAAGTGCTCTTGTTTTCCCTTAATATGAAATAAAAGGCAACACCACCGGCTTTAACGCAGTTCACTTTCTCTGCCCAACTTTTTGTCAGCGTTGGAATCCCGTAGACGGTTTCTCTGAACGTTTGCTGCCAAGCGACCGCTGGCAGTGGAGCGACGTCACAGGTCTGCAGCACCAACCTCTGGACAGCTTCCTGCTGCCCTCCAGCAGCTGGGAGTGGGAGGGTGACTGGTATGTGGATGAAAACTTTGAGGGAGAGCCCACAGAGAAAGGGGTGAGTTTAAAAAATGCGTGTCTGCTTCAGTTACTGCCCTTTTTTCCTTTCTCTGGTGTGACCTGTTCAGATGTTTGTTTCCAGGGATGGACCTATGCCATCGATTTCCCTGCCACCTATACTAAAGACAAGAAGTGGAACTCCTGTGTCCGTCGCAGGCGATGGCTCCGCTACAGGAAGTACAAAGCAATGGACACCTGGGCTAAGGTGGGTGTTACTGCATAACATATGCATGTAATGAGTGCTGATGGGTGAATGCGCGTATTAAGTTCTTGTTTTCCTTGTGTGCATGGCAGATCCCCTCACAGCACACAACTCTACCAGATCCCTTCAGCGACATCAGCTGTGGAGGTTGGGAGATTAGTGAGGAACCCAGGGGCCGTCTGTGTCTGTGGGCTGTATCCCTGCAGGGCAAGGTATAGATTATATATACAGGGCAGCGCCTACCTTGTTTTAGGTATCAGTGGCAATGTTATTATGCTGCTATATGCTCAGATTGAGAATTTCTTGACTGTTGAAGTAATTTGTGTTTATTAACTGTGTATGCTTCAAATCATTTGCTATTAAAAGCAAAGTTAGACGTTAGCAGCATGCTAACTACTTTAAAATGATCCTGTCTCACACATACATTCGTGTCACACCAAAATTGTTTGATAGCAGCTCTTAATTTTCGGAATCTGTCTTTGTCTCTGTTCAGGTGTGGTTTAGAGAGGGAATCTATCACCATAATCCTGAGGGCGCTTCATGGGAGGAGGTGCTTCTACCTGGAGAGGTGGTCCAGATCAGCTGTGGCCCAGCAGACCTGGTCTGGGCTGTGCTCTGGGAGGGGCAGCTCATTGTCAGGGAGGGCATAAGCAGAGACTGCCCTAAAGGTACAAATAGGCTCACTGATGGGAGGGTGACGTGGTGTTTCTGAGTGAATGTGTTGAGAATTAATATTTCCTGCAATCCAGGTGCCTCTTGGGCAATAGTGGAGTCTCCCAGCTCCGATGTGGGAGCTACACACGTAGCCGTGGGAAACAAC